GAGATTGTAAAGCAAAAAGGGTGGGCATTGCCGGATGAGTTTTTAACAAAGGGGGTCGAATGGTTTTCAAAGTTTGGCACCACACTTTGAAAAATATTTTTCAAAGTTTGGTTGATGTCTGTTGAAAATAAAAATGGAAAAATTACATTTTAATCCCTACACATTTTAGGATATTTACAAGATTAGTCCTCAAACTTCAACTATAAATACTCTAACCCATTTAGCTTCAAAATCATCCAAAATCATTTCTTTCTCTCAATACTAGCTTTCTTGTGAGTAGTGAGTGTTTTGTAAACACTTGTAAATTTTCTCTTTTAGTAAAAGATCTGCAACAGTCTGAAGACGTAGACATAATTGGCTGAACTCCGTTATCAATTTCGGATATTATTTTTTCAATTTTATTTTGCATTCTCACTAATCTGGTTATAGAAAAATTATTTATTTACTCGTTTATTTCCCAACACTAAAAATAGTATTTGTTATTGGACAGGAGGTAGGACATGTGACTAGAAAGACGTGCATGTACCTATTCCAAGCCAAGGTGGGTTGATTTATTAATGTTCAAATGTTCCTTTTTTATTTATTTTTTAAATAATCGCAAATATTTATGCTATAGGCTGGCCATTCACGTATGAGACCCGAATTCAACGAGTTCCGACTGAATTAAAATCTATGCATAAATATCCATATACATAAGGATATTATATATGCTTGAATAAATATCAAAATCTAAGATACCTGAATTCACATCCACATCGACAAATAAGCAAATCAAATATCCATTTATATCTAAATCCGCACTATGCATTAATATCATGATCAGATCTAACATTTGGTTTAGACAGAATTTACACGAACTAGAGCACAATAGCACCGACACAACTGATGCTATTGAACCAAACCTATAGCAACAGTCAAACTATTATCATAGAATCTGCATACCCTTAACTACAAAATCCTATTTAACATGCAACATGCTCACACGACATATCGATATGTGACATAACGACCAGCGGTCTCACTAGGCCGAATTATCTTCACCACTTGTCCACGCTTCAGACCATAGTATCTTGCGATGGGATCGCTCACCTGGATACGAGGCAGCTGCATTCAATCCATTAAAAAAAACACAATTGTAACACACATTAGTTTACTTTCGGCACTCAACTATCCAACAGATACAACTAATTAACATATGAATTACAACCCTATAAAACAATAAATATTACTTTATAATAATCTAACCATATATAGAAATTTAAGGTTACTATAAACTGACCTGTGTTTCCTTTACGGTATATCTTTGCAGCAAAGTCTTTTTCTCCACAGAAGTAAGCACCTGATGCTCCGGAACAAGAGAATGTTCTTTTACATTGATAACGAGTTCTGATTCCTGCATCGAGGAAGGTAAGAACATATAATAGTTGATTTTTTTTATCACAATTCAATGATTACCATCAATGTATACAGATCCAGAAAGTTCAAAAACTACATATAAAATAGATAGAAGAGAAATTAAGAAAAGCAGCCCATTTTATTTATTAATATGCTATTAAAATAAAGTCTTTAAACAAAAGTACTGCATACATTGATGATAGCGCAAAATTTATAGAATGGTAAGAACATAGCAATTCATCCTATCCATTAGACAAACTTATAGTAAATGTTTGGCAATCATATTGACAAGCTTGAGAAATTAAACATAATTAGATGAATCATAGACCTCAAACTTTCCATCATAGAAGACTCCACACCAAAAATCCCATTGATAGAGAATGCCACCAATAAGCGTGCCATAATGATTATTTAAGAAGGACCCAAAAATTGTAAAAGCAAGAAATTTACCTGGAAAACTTCCAAGTGAAACTTGGAAGAAATTTCATTGATACAAGTTCGAGCAAAGGGAGTCAAATTCTGTTGCACAACAAGTATGGCGCTGAATACGTTCTCTGATTTCATGCGGTTGGTGTATGTCTTGATTGTCTTCACACCAACCTTGGGTTCTTCAGGAAAGAAAACATAGATCTAGGACACAAAAATTAAAACCCTCAAAACTAATAAGGTCACAGATAAAGACAAATATATGTCAAACTTCATAAACAAGAACAATTGAACAGTTATTGTGCCATATTACCATAAGTTCTAAAAGCATATGTTAAATGACTTGAAACAATTCGTTAAAAACCGAGCCGAAGATTTGGGGATACCTGATCAGAGCTATCATTCGCTTAGCTTTATTAATAATAAGATCCTCCCTTTCATGTATTCGCCGAATTTGGAAATAAATTCTTCTCTGGACATTTTAATCTCGAAATCCCCGACGAAATAGCCTCTGTCTTTCAACATATGCATTACTGTCCTTCGGATTCGAAACAGCCTCTTGATTTCATCATCTGAGAGAGCCATTTTTGTCCTCCACTAGTTGATTTCTGTACTCCAAAAGTAACTAAATATTAGTCATGCACCAAGAGCAAAACAAACGCAATAACAAGAATCATAACCATTATATAACTATACATAACCCATGAGTTTAAATCAAAGTTAAACAGACAATATAAAAAGAAACCCTAATAAAACTAAAATCAGTAAAGAAAAATATTGAAATAAGGAAACAACTACAATCATAATCATAACATAGCTAAATACTAACAAATGAGTACAATCAAAGTTCAAACTGAGAATTTAACAAAACCCTAACACGTGAAAACGAAAACGATAAAGATATAAAAGGAGTTAGAACCAAATTGACTCCAAAAAGAAGGAATTATGGGCGATAAAACAAGAGAAATAGAAACCCTAATACTTGTTCTTTGGCTACCTTCGAGTATCGAAGTAAGAGAGTGAGTTTCGCTGAAGAAATAAAGATGGCGGCTTTAAATCCTTAATGGGAAAATATATATAAAAAAATAAAATTTGAAAAACTATGAGGCTTAGTCTGCCCTTCTCTCTTGGGCTTAGTTTCGCTTCCTTCAATCCAATCCTTGTCTTTATAATCAAATACATGCATGTGTACATATAAAAACTAAGCACTATGATTTAAAATTCATTAGTTTTTCACCAAAATATAATTGTTGAATTAATACAATTATATAAATAATATGAAAATAAAAAAAAATCATCTTTTCTAAAAATTAAAAAAAAATAATGCTAGGACATAAAATTTTAATTTTAGTGATCTATTCAGATTTATCCAATGGTTATATTTTCTATTAATTATCTAATTTTATACCCCTTAAAATTTTATAACTCTACACCCTTAAATTTTTAATATAAATTTCTACGTTCGTCCATGTCACAATATGTTTAATTGATTTAGTGTAACTATTCAAAATTTTTAGTTAACATTTAAGTGTTAACTAAGAAAATAGATGAATTAATTAGTAAGACTGATTATATTAATTAGATAAAGTATGGGGTTAATGGATAAGAATTGGGCTCTATTGATTATACAAAATATGTTTTTAAGTTGAGACTGAAAGGTGAAAGGAGAAGGACCAATAAAATAATTAAGCCATTTTGTATTTTGTTTGTCTCTACGTGGAGTTTTAGGGGATAAAAGTTGAGCTAAGTGACCTTACCCCCAATCCCTTCATTTTTCCATCTTTCTCTTCTTCCCAACTATTTTTTTAAAAAAGAATAGTATACTTATTACTATTATTTCCTTTAGTTTTGCGGTTGATTTGCATTTCATTTTAATGCTTGTTGATTACTTATTAGTTAAAGAGGTGGGTAAGCCCCTAGATCTAAAGTAAATGAGAAGACTTAAGGATGATGAGTACGAAAATTCGTTTGATGTGTTTGCGTTTGGAGATAGTTTTTTCACGACACTCGACTCTAATTTGTGAATGTTGATTGTTTTTCATATTTGATCTTTGTTATAGTTTGTTTCTTGATGCAATCAAATTTGTTCGTATCTATATTTTGTTCGATTTTTTAAATGAACTTTTAATCTTTTTCTTGTATGGTTCTTGCATAATCTCAGGTGATTAATTTATTGTGTTTATAATTAAAGAAAATATTTTAATTATGTGTTGAGCTTACAATTATAGTTGTAAACCTTCGTTATTAAAATTTTTATTTTTTTAATTTTTAATAAAACCAACCACTTATATTTTCTTTTATTTTTTCTAAAGATATCGTATGGTTTATTCATAAATATAGTAGTGAGTTCTTATATTGTCGGATGATTTTAAAAATTCCTGAAATTCCGTTATATATATATGTATAAAAATTGTAAGTTCTTTGTCAGTTAAGATCATATGTTTATCAAAGTTTCTTAAAAGTTTATATTTTTTTAAACATTGATTTTTGAGTCTACTATAGTACGAGACATTTATAGGTCTACATGACCTACTAGAGTGAAATCCAAAATTTATAGATCATGTCTATTTAGTGGGTGATCTAAGTCATGGGAGAGAATGTTAGAGGATTTTTAATGCCATGGTCTTTTTTGGTCTCTCTTGAGTGGCTATTTGTAGGGTATTGTGTTTGGCCTTGATTAAGAGCCGCTCATAATTAACTCTTATTGGTAGTTTTAAGAGGTGACGTGATAGGTGATGATTAATTGTCTACAGTTGTCGTATTATTGATACTGATTGATTACTTTAAGAGAATATAAATTAAATTGAGATGTTATACGTATCAACATGGTTATCATTAACTGCGAATAAAATATATTTACATGAGTGGTTATTATGATAATGAGAATTTATTTTTTTTATCTGTGTGGGTGATATTAAAGTTCGTCTACTGATTCGTAGATAATAACAAAACCATTAACGATCGAGGAAACCAATTTATTTTCGTCAAGTTCTTTCGTTACATTTTTAATCACTGCCATCGTTTTTCATAGAGCTCTTACTTATCAATGAGATTGATTAAAATAACTTTAAAGAAAAAAGAATCCAAACACTTTCTTATTAAAAGAACCGTTAATAGAAAAGAATTCTTTGAGAAAAAAAGAAACCTATGTATGAAGATACAAGGGAAAGTAGGAGATGCTAATGGCCACCGCCAGGGCTTGGAACAGACTGAAGAATCCGATCAATTCCGGCAAGGTGTCGAGCAAAAAGCGTCTCGTTATCGAGCTTCGGCGAGTGACCCTTCTTGCTCGGAACCGTACCCTTGGGAAGGGCATTGAGCACCAAGCTTGCCAACAATAGAGGAACATTTTCACCGCTTTCTCTTGCGTTTATTAACAGCTTCCTACTTTCCATTTGAGCCACAAATGAAGAAGCAAATATCACCAAGAAAATAGGAACCAAAGAAATGAAACGAGCCATGAATTCGTGTTAAAACAATTGGAATCTGGGTTTTGATGGTGAAGTTTGAAAAGAAAAGAAAAAAAAACTCAGAGGAAAGTTGTAATGGTTCTGTGGTGCCTTGAAAAAGGGCTTGGCGTACAAATATATAGAGAAGATGACGGCTGGAAAGCTGGGAGACGAGGAAGGAGCCAAAGTCTAAGTTTAATATCTATCTTGGCTTTGTACAATTCTTTAAAAATGTCTAATTAGTGTTCATAATAAATACCTGAACCTAGTGATTAAGAGTGGGAAAGAAAAAGTAGAGTTAGGCATAGGGATGAACAAAGGTTATTGGCATTCGGTTGTATCCTTGATATTTCAAATTATTATATAGTTTATGTATTTTTTTATATTTTCTATTGATTATTTAGTTTTATATTTTTAATTTTATATCTTTAAAATTTTAATATAACTTTTGAAGTTTATAGTTTCTAACATGGATTAGAGACATGGAAGTGAGTAATCCGCCGGCCAATATTTTTGGGCAATTACATTCACCATCGCCGATCCTTAATTTTGGTCCAAAAAGTTAAATATAGTACGCACACAAATCTGATATTACTTTGACTTGGTTAGGCTTTGGGTTTCGTGGAAGCATCGCAATAAAACTAGTGTTGCACTGAAGTGTTTGATTTCGACATGAATCTTCAATCTTTGAAATTCCCCCCTCAACTTTTAACTATGAGACCGTGACAGCCATCGGCCCACCGCCACATGGAAGCTAGTTTCTACTGGTTTAACCGAGGTGTAAAACCGAATAGAATTTGAATCTCTGATCGGCATACCAAACTCTCATTGTCAAAATCGTGAAGGAAAAGAACAAGTTTAAGACCAGACACCTGTTGGTTGTTAAAGACAACGTAAAAATCCTTAAACAACGTGGTAAATTTGTCTTGGTTTTCAAGGTCTCTTAACACCCTGCATCTTAATTGCCTTGTAATGGAAATGTTGTTTATGCAGACGCAAAGGCAAAAGAATATCCCTAGAAATGGCAAGCAGAAAGAGCCAAATAAGATAAGACTAAAGAACAATGATGAGGGTTTTTAAAGCTCTTGAAATCCTCTTCCAACGTTGTTGGTTGTTTTGCACGTAACCACAACAAGCTGCAGTTTGGGGCCTCTTGTTTGTTCCATTATTTGAGTCGCAGATCAACGGAATTTAAATGAATTTAATAAATAAATATGAATAAACAATATACAAATAAACCCCAACAAACCACCTATACAAGCAAATTCATATCATTGATATACATCTTGCATCTATCCTTGATCTTACATCCTCTTGTTTATCGACCGAGCTAAACACAGCCGACGAACTCTTTTTTTCTTCCATTGAATCACGTCTCAAAACATTATTTTGCATTGTGTTATAGCACCATTTTGTTTGATTTTCTCTCTTTTTTTCCTTTTTTTTTTTGTTGAAAATTTTCAACATTGGAATCTATTCAAGTTTTTAGTCAATTAAAACAGTAATTTTTGAAGAGAAAATTGCATCAAAATTCAACAGAAGGATCAGAGAAACAACGCATGTCATGCATTTTCCCTCACCATATATGACATGTACCCCTTAAGATGAATGAGAACAAACGGTCGACATTATTGACTTAAACAAATGCATAAAAAGGAATAAAGAAGAAGAAGAGAAATATGGTCCTAAATTGACACGAAATTAAGGAAAAACAAAAGAGAAAACCCACAAAAATTCGAGTTAAATTAGCTAAAAATGTCGGTATTTATAAAATGTTGTGATAATAAGGGTTTTGCTTGGTGTAGTGTGTACAAAAGGTTCTTTAATTGCATTCACAGATAATCACTAAGCACCGTTACATTTGTTGGAGTGGTAGAATTTAATTGGATGATTTTTTTCTAAAATATTATTAGAATTTTTAAAATAATATTTACAAATAATAATAATGAAATCTAATTTAAATATAAATAATTTTAACGACTATAAAAATATTAAAATTTCTTAAAACTATAACAAATTCTAAATTCAAATTTAATTTATTTAACTATTCAAGTACATATAATCAAAGGTAATCTACATGAATAATCATTAATGTTTAAATATATTTTCTCATTAAAATTTTAAAATTAACAAATAAATTACGAATGTTATTGATTTATAATAAAAGAAAAGTCGCAATTGGACTCCTACCGCAGTGAATTTCTTTTTATCCAAAAGTAATGTCTAAAACCCCTCAAATGGGTCCCGTCTCTGAAACATTCAACCAATTAAAACCAAAACCCTCCTTGTTCTTTTCTCGCCCTACACATGTTTTTCTTTGTTAATTTCAACCCTCGACCCCTAACATGTTTATGTAATAAAAACAACGTTTAGTTGAAGATTGCTTCCGTGTCTATCAGTTCTTCAAAGTCTATGAATTCAACGAAAGCATGCTAAAGAATCAATTCTATCACAAGGTTTTGGTTTATCCAAATTCTCTGACTCCCCTTAAATATTCCGATTTCACTAACCCTTCATCGGTAAAAAAAAAACAAACAAACAAATTCATTCTTTGCATCGACACAAACCAAATTGTCAAAGACGGTTATCTTGGTGCCAATATATTTTGGATTAACGAAAACAATTTGGTGTTAAAGATTCAAAAACCTGACAAACGAAGAGTCCTCCGGCCTTTCCTTCAACATATCCTCTCAGTTTATGACGATTTGGAAGACCATAAACGAGAATTGAAGCTTTACATGAATGTCACTAACAATCAAAAGGGGTTACGCAACAAAAAGTTAGCAGCAGAAAAGTTATGCATCTTCAACATCTTCCAGCAAAAAGGGATTTTCTGAAGGAAAGTCTAAGCATACCCAAACAACTTCAACGGATACTAGAGGTTCGGGATTCCGTCATAAAACAGAATATGAGTATTGTGGAAAGAACCATTTCGTTCAGTGTTGGTTGACATGAGGAAATTGCTACCACTATAGGGAAGCTAGTCATTATAAGAAAAATTGTCTGGAGCTTCACTCAGATCAGTCAGTGGTAGGACCTCAGAAGGGTCGAGGTGGCAAAGGAGGCAAGCCAAGAATGTCTGAGGTTGCATCCAATCATGAAGGCAAGACAATTGCTCGAATTTATTACATTAAAACTAATGATGATCGAGATGCTCCTGAGATTATAGAAGGCATCTTTTATCTCTTTGATGAACATGTTTTTGTGTTTGTAGATCCTTGTTATACTTACTCTTATATTAGTGCAAGGTTGGTTAAAGATAGGATAATCTCTTTAGAGTTTATTTCTAGTCATATTGTAGCAATAATTTATTTGGATCATAGTGCAAGGATTAATCGGATATGTAAGAATTGTCCGATAAAGATACAAGGAGTAGAATTTCCTGCGAATTTGCTGGAATTGACCATTGAGAAATTTGGAATAATTTTGGGCATGGATTGGTTGTCTACCTACTATGGTTGGGTAGATTTTTGCATGAAAAGATTGTTTCTAAAGGACGCGAAAGGTTCATAAGTAGTCTTCGTAGGAGAAAAGGGTAAATCCTTTATTTAATGTGATCTCAGCTTTCTATGCTAAGAAATTTATGTCGCAAGATGTCAAGCAATTTTAGAGAATGTATTAGATACGTGACCCCCTGAGGTTAAGTTGAAAGATATTCCAATGGTTTGAGAGTATCCAAAGGTGTTTCTAGATGAGTTACTTGGACTACCTCCAGATCAAGAGGTGGAGTTTAGTATTGATGTATTCCAGAGCATAACACCTATCTCGATGGCTCATTATTAGATGGATCTAACATAATTAAGAGAACTAAATGCTCAATTATAAGAGTTGATCGATCGAGGATTCATTAGACCGAGTGTTTTACCTTGGGGTGCACCAATGTTGTAGTGAAAAAGAAAGACATATCAATGCGTTTATGCATAGATTATCGACAGTTGAATAAGGTGACTATCAAGAACAAGTATCCTCTTCCAAGGATAGATGATTTGTTTGAACAAATAAAAGGAGCAACGGTTTTATCTAAGATTGATTTTCGATTGGGATATCACCAATTAAAGATTAAAGAGGAAGACACACCAAAAACAATATTTAGAACTCGGTATAGACATTATGAGTTCGTGGTGATGCCATTTGGTTTGACCAATGCTCTCGCAGTATTTATGGATTTGATTAATCGAGTATTTCAGCCTTACTTGGATCAATTCGTGGTGGTATTTATTGATGACATCTTAGTATACTCAAAGACCGAAGAAGACCACGCCGCTCATTTTTGTACTATTATAAAGATTCTTAAAGATAAAAAGTTGTATGCCAAGTTATCGAAGTCTGAGTTTCACTACAACAAATTTACTTATTTGTGATATCTAAAATATTGTCACTAAAACTTATATTTATGTTACTATTTATAATTTGTGACGTAAAAATTGACGTCACGACTAATGTCACCCTAGGTGTGTCACTAAATGTCAAATGTGACGATTTATATATTTGCATCACGTATTGCTAAATATATAGTAACAATAATGAATAACGTCATATTATAATTTATATTCAATGACAATTAATTATGTCATGAAATTATATAAAATATTATCATTATTTATTTATATCGTCACCAATAATATAATAATTTTATTCTATAAATAACAAAAATTAAATCGTCACAATTTTTTATTAAAATTTTTAAAATTTATATAAATTAAAATTAAATATTTTTTTAAATTACATTTAAGGAAAAAGATTTTTATAAATTACAATAATGGACAATTCTTTTTATAAATTATAATAGAAGATAAATCTTCTTATAAATTACAATAAAGGACAAATCTTTTTATAATTTAAAATAAAAACAAATCTTTTTATAAATTACAATACTGACATATACTTTTTACAAATTACAATAACAACTCATATTTTTACATATAACAATAACAACCTATATTTTTACAATCACTACATTTTGATCCCTTTTGTGTAGAATACCAAAAACCAGCCCACATATCTCAACCTCG